CAATGGGACTGATTGTAACCCTCTGACACCAACAATGGGACTGATTGTAACCCTCTGACACCAACAATGGGACTGATTGTAACCCTCTGACACCAACAATGGGACTGATTGTAACCCTCTGACACCAACAATGGGACTGATTGTAACCCTCTGACACCAACAATGGGACTGATTGTAACCCTCTGACACCAACAATGGGACTGATTGTAACCCTCTGACACCAACAATGGGACTGATTGTAACCCTCTGACACCAACAATGGGACTGATTGTAACCCTCTGACACCAGCAATGGGTTTATTTCTCACCAGGTGACACCAGCTATGGGGCCTAGTTTGTTCCTACAGGTACCAGTAATTGGCTATAAAATGCTCTCTATGACACCAGCTCTCAATGTCACCAACAATTGGGGATACATTCTTCCCACTGACACCAGCAATATGGAATTTGCTTTATCCTACTTGTATAGAATAATGGACACCGGCACTCCAATGAGCAAATCAAGTGCGACTATTAACGTACACGCTGCATAGCAAAATACACTCAGTGCAATGTTTCGGGGGTCGCACAGGATCCCCTTCATTAGGCAGGAACAAGTGAAAAAACTCAATATATACACACCAGCAAGTGAAAACAGACCTATCACAGTGCCTGCTGTGTCCCGTGACGTCACAGTGACCTCATACTCCCGCCATAGTTTAAAAAAGACAGGAATGTAATAGAGAATGAAGCAGATAACAAAAAATCACTGGCGGCTGTGAGGAGGAACGCGCCGCTGTCCAGATCACTGACAACCTGTGCGCGTTCCTCCTCACAGCCACTGCAGAGTGAGTGACAGCCAGCAGCTTGCTGTGGAGGAGGCCCGGGGCCCGGTGTCGGCAGAGGAGGAGGCAGGGCCTGGCGGTGGAGGAAGCTCACAGCGAATCGGGGCTGAAAGGCAATAGGTGTGCAGGAGTGTGACCAGCCCACCTGAGACCCTGCAGGGCCCACCATAGAAAGTCTATGGTGGGCTCTGCAGGGTCACTCTCAGGTGGGCAGTGTGGGATCTCGGGCGGCCTCTGCAAGGGGCACAACTAGAAATCACAGATCCCCACGCAAAATTTTGCCCTGTGATTTCTAGTTACGCTGTCCTGGTATGCTCTATGGTCAAGAATAAAAGATAAATACCTCGAGGATGGATAGTGGAGGCCGTGTAACAGGTGAACAGATCTGATGTAGTAAGCAACTGTCCGTGCAGGAAAGCCGTTGGTCAACGGTTAGGGGAGTGGCCAGCCGTTGGTCAACGGTTAGGGGAGTGGCCAGCTGCTGTACAGTATACCCAGCCAACCCCTAGTCACGCCCCGCTCCGTGTATCAGCATGTGTGGAAAGCCGCACACGTCAGAATGACATGGACTCGGCTGCGCCCCTCAGCATGGTCAAAAGAGTCATTCCTAGGATAGGCCGCACGCACCCATTAGGGAGTGGGGAATCGGCCATGTCACAGGTTGCCATAGCTACGGCGGGATGCTGATGGTATACTGAGCTTTGGGTCACAGGAGGATGCTAGTTTGTGTCCTCCCGTTACCCTTAGGAGAACTATGGGGAAAAGCCCTGGCCCCATAGTTCTCTTTTAGGCCCCGTTCACATTGAGCGATATATCGCGCGGTAATTCCCGCTATATCGCGGCTATTTACCGCGTGATATTGCTCTTCAATGCTTTGCAATGGGGCAAAGGGTCCTGCTGTCGTGGGTCGTGTGTCGCTACAGCAGGACCCTTTTTGGAGCGGATTTTGCCGCGATTTGATGCAAGCATTTGCGCGATATCACACAAAATGCAAATCGTGCGACAAACGCGCGATTTGCGAATCGCCAAGTGTGAATGGGGCCTGTATAGGCAGAGTATTTAGCTGTAGCAGGTGCACACCTGAATCTGTTTGTAGAACTATTGTATCGGTGATGTGTATGTTTATATACCCACACTGTAACCCTTCCCATATCTCTCTTGCAGGTTGCTTTCTAAACAGAACCGCCTCACTATGACCCGGAACGCAGTTTGGGCTCTGTCTAACCTGTGTAGGGGGAAGAATCCGCCACCAGACTTTGCCAAGGTGAGCAATATGTCAAAACGAGAGAAATTAGACAGACCTGAATATGAGAATGTTCCAAAAAATTCCACTACCGCGTTTCCCCGAAAGTAAGACCTGGCGCTATCTTCAGGGATTTCTGTAATATAAGATCTACCCCGAAAATAATACCTAGTTCGGGGGTAGGTCTTATATTACAGAAATCCGCTAGGTCTTACTTTCGGGGTAGCTGCACATAAACTGTGTAAAGACCGGCCGCAGCTCCCGCCCACACGCCAGCCTGCTGCAGCTCCCGCCCACACGCCAGCCTGCCGCAGCTCCAGCCCACACGCCAGCCGGCCGCAGCTCCTGCCCCGCCCACACGCCAGCCGCAGCTCCCGCCCCCACGCCAGCCGGCCGCAGCTCCCGCCCGCACGCACGATGGAAGCGACATCCGCCAGGACCGGCAACAGCACGCTGCCTTCCGGGATACCGTCCATTCCTCCCCCAGCCAGGTAAGACATCCCCAGAAAATAAGACCTAGTGTCTTATTTTGTGCAAAAAAAAAAAATAAGACAGTGTCTTATTTTCGGGGAAACACGGTATCCAGCTTGGCCTTGTTTGTGAAGGACAATCACAGGCAAGACACTGGGGGCTCTTGTGCTCCATAACCTTTTGATAGCTGAAACAGTTGAGGGCCAAACTGTGTTCAGCAGTTAATGAAATTTACTTTTTCTCAAACATTTTCAGATAATATTCCAGATGTCTTAACTTTGTCTGTATGTCAATAGTGTACCTTCGGAACATATACTTTATGGCCAAAATGTTGGAGAGCCCTCCTGAGTTCAGGTGTTTGCAGTGAGACAAATACCGTATTTTGTGCTCCATAAGACGCACTTTTTTCCCCCCAAAAGGAGGGGGGAAATGTGCCTGCGTCTTATGGAGCGAATCCCGACGCCGGAGACATGCAGTTTCGGGCGCCGGGCGGGTAGTAGGAGCCACTGCTCGTTTAATACGAGTGATCTAACAAGATCACTCGTATTAAAGCCGAGGCAGCGGCGACGATCAAGATCACCATAGAGCAGACGAAGAACGGACTTTCTTCGTCTGCTCTGTGTGATCACTGAGACCGTGGCGCTGTAATCACAGCGCCACCTGTCTCAGCGGTCACTAACTGCAGCTTCTGTCACAGCTTCTGTCATAGAAGCTGTGTCAGAAGCTACAGTCTGTCGAGTGCTCCATAAGGCGCGCCGGACCTCCCTGCGTCCTATGGTCCGGTGCGTCTTATGGACCGCAAAATACGGTAATCATTATTTTGGCCAGAACAGGAATGACGACCGCTAAATATGTAGTGTCCCCTCACACCAGTGTAAAAATGTGACCTTACATTGGTGGTCACTGAAGTGCTGTTTACATTAGTGCACAAGGGAGCAGTGTGCATTTATTATTATTTAGCCAGTGTAGGGATTGGCAGAGGGGGCGGGGGATGGAAGCCAGTGCAGGGATTGGCAGAGGGAGGTTGCAGACACTGAGTGGTTGGTCAAGTGGATGAGTCTGGCACCTGCATTCATGATAGACTGAAGGGGGGATATCCTGTGTAGAGGAAGGCTAATGAGGAGGGTGTTACAATAGTCAATGCCCTTAAGCCCCGTTCACATTGCATTTCAATGCATTTCAATGGGGCAAAGGGTCCTGCTGTCGCGGGTCGTGTGTCGCTACAGCAGGACCCTTTTTGGAGCGGATTTAGCTTCAATTCAAGCTTGCTCAATGCAAGCTTGAACGCGATATCGCGCAGCAAATCTTGCGATATCGCGCAATATGCAAATCGCGCGATTTGCATATCACGCAGTGGGAAGGGGGCCTTAGTAGGGAAATGCCCCTTTGCATTGGTGGTCAGTGTAGCGCTCCTTTTATATTTTGACCTCTTCAATTAGATGCCATTAGAAAAATATCCATTCACAATGAACCCTAGAGTTCTGCAGAACCCCGATTTAGAAGGGCTGATTTTGGACATGTGGCTATAGCTGGCCATATAGTATTGGGCTGATAACTGCCCCCTCTGGTCTGAAGACTGTGTTGTATCCCTCAGGTGTCTCCATGTCTGAACGTCCTGTCCTGGCTGCTGTTTGTTAGCGACACGGATGTACTGGCCGATGCTTGCTGGGCCCTGTCCTACCTGTCTGACGGACCCAACGATAAGATCCAAGCCGTCATCGATGCCGGAGTGTGCAGGAGACTGGTGGAGCTTTTAATGTAAGAAAACTTGATCTTCGGGTGCACACATCCTATTCGTACACCCTTCCCTTCCGCGTTCCTACACATTGCTGGCAGTGCAATAAAGATTCTTTAGCTTATGTGCCCACACAATCTAACTTCCCCTCCCATACCCTCCATCAGCAGGGATTGCAATCTCTCCCCCTATTGGTCTGGCAGGCACCTTCACCCCTGCAACTGATTGAGAAGTGAGCGAGCGACGGTATGTGTTCGCTCACTTCCTGATCCATTAAGCCGACGCGTGACAGTTTCATTGTCACACGTCGGCTCGAACTATGAGGGCGAGTGATTTTCTTTCACCTCATAGTTCTCCTTTTTAAGTTCTATGTCCTCACCATGGTGCGATTCGGCGGCACGACATCTCGCTACGCTGAGCTTTAAAGGAGAACTATGGGGTCAGGGTTTTTCCCCAAGCTCAGTATACCGCGAGCTACATCTCTCGGTATACTGAGACGCCGGAGCCGGAGCGGATCCCGACGTAGATGACGGGATCCGCCCAGCTGCGTGAGTGACAGCTGGCTCTGCCTATCTAGAGGCAGAGCCAGCTGTAACCGCCCCCTCCCCCGTCCGTTCCGCCAGTCAGCGCTGGCAGATCGGAGCGGGGAGAGGGGAATCCAGCCCTCCCCCTGTCACGGCAGAGAGCCGTGACAGGATCGAGAGGTAAGCGAACCCAGTATGTGTTCCCTCACCTCCCGATCTACTGAGCCCACCTGTGACAGTCTCATTGTCACAGGTCGGCTAGAACTATGAGGTGAGTGGAAATCACTCACCTCATAGTTCTCCTTTAAAGAAGTACTACATGCCATACTTTTTTTTGAGCACACACCACTGGAACGTGGTGGTGTGAACTGTGCCCACCCATGACTGCGCTGGGCGTTTTCTGCGAACGCAGATAGTGTGAATGGGCTCTCGGGGGAACAAACCTACATGTAATACAAAGCTCTGAAAATCAATGGCCTGCCCAAAAATATTCCTAGGTCCAAAGTTCCCCGTTACAATCCCATTTCACTCCTAAAATAGGAAACCTCCATAATGTCCTACAACAGACCCCAAAACAATATTAATAGACAACAGCAAAATCTGGAACATCACAAAATGTTACACGTAGAAAACATGATATGATGGAAACCAGAGAGAAGTCCTCCCTAGGTAAGTCCCATATCTTGGGTACATGTGGCAAACCTCAAGTAGGTGGAAAGGCTAAATACAACTAACAGTGCCAGGTCTCCCTTTCTTCAAAAAAAAAACACTTGTAAATAACTTTATTTTGGGTCACATTTCGGCAAGCCCTCCAATCCTTGTGCCTTTTCTGCGAGCTGTGGGTGGGGAACTTTCAGAGGCTCTGACATAAAGGTGCGGAGGAGCTGTAGCATGTTAGTGAAGTGCTGAAAGCTCTGAGGTGGTTGTGGACACTTTTGGGAAATTATGTCACAGCAAGTGACCTACTACAAGAGTATAACGCAAGCCAGAGGGGAGGGGCTCTAGGGGCTTGTTTTCCCTCGGCATAGCGCAGGACCAACCATGCAAGCTGGAGGGGAGGGGGTATAGGGGCTGGTCTTCAATTGGCACAGCTCAGGGCTGACAGTGCAAGCCAGAGGAGAGGGGTTATAGGGGCTGGTCTTGCCTTGGCAAACCCAAAGGCCGACCACGCAAGCTGTAGGGGCTATAGTGGCTGGTCTTCACTCGGCACAGCCCAAGGCCCGCAATGCAAGCTGGACGGGAGGAGGTATAGGGGCTGGTCTTCAATCGGCACAGCCCAAGGCCCGCAATGCAAGCCGGACGGGAGGAGGTATAGGGGCTGGTCTTCACTCGGCACAGCCCAAGGCCCGCAATGCAAGCTGGACGGGAGGAGGTATAGGGGCTGGTCTTCAATCGGCCCAGCTCAGGACTGACAGTGCAAGCTGGACGGGAGAGGTATAGGGGCTGGTCTTCACTCGGCACAGCCAGGGCCCGCAATGCAAGCTGGACGGGAGGAGGTATAGGGGCCGGTCTTCACTCGGCACAGCCCAAGGCCCGCAATGCAGGCTGGACGGGAGGAGGTGTAGGGGCCGGTCTTCACTCGGCACAGCCCAAGGCCTGCAATGCAAGCTGGACGGGAGGAGGTGTAGGGGCCGGTCTTCAATCGGCACAGCCCAGGGCTGACATTGCAAGCTGGCGTAGAGGGGCTGGTCTTCCCTCGGCATAGCCCAGAGTCAACAATGCAAGCTGGAGAAGAGGGCTCATCGTCACTCAGCGCAGGGACGATTTCAGTAGCTGACAAGAACTTCAGTGGTGACTTGAAAGCTTGCACAGGGATGTAAAAGGAGGGAACCGTGTCCATAATATCAGTGTATATACTACACATTTATGTTCTTCGCTGCAGATACACTTTTGTTGATGTGTTTTCAGGCACAGCGATTACAAAGTGGTGTCACCGGCTTTAAGAGCTGTCGGGAACATTGTGACCGGGGACGATGTACAGACACAGGTGAGGAATAGATTTTCTTTGTACAGCGCTCATACTCTGCGTCACCCCTCAGGTCTTACCTGTAATGACAGAGGAAATATTCTGACAGCATACTTGTTGAAATGCTTCTTCGCTGCTCCCTGACCATTACAAGTAGTCCACACTTGCAGGTGTGTGCTCCCACGCTGCATGCAGTGGTTTCTGCTGCGTTCTTATGACTGACTACAGTGTTTCAGTACCTGTTTTTCCCTGCCGTGACTAGAGTGGTTCCTCCCGATGGTTCATATAATCTACATATATGAACCTATGGGAGAAACCAACTTGTTTACAGCAGGGTAAATGGGTATATGACCTATCCAAGCAGTTAGATGCTTTCAGGGGCTGGGAAGCAGCGAAGAGGCGGCATTCAGCAAAGGGCTGCCGGAAAGGTAAGTATATTGCCTGTTACAGGTATACTCCAATATAAATGTAACTGTGCTCACTGGCCAAACAAGTCAACCGTGCTCCACTTGTCTTCACCACAGGTAGACTTTATTCCTTGTTCATCACTACACTGTCGTCCTTGCCTTGGACCAACCACCTTTGATTTGTTTGTACAGTCTGTGCTGACAGGGTCACTTTAAGACAGGGCTAGAAATAATAATATGGGATTGAAGAACCAGTCTGTCTAATACTGAAGCCGGGAGGATTTGTTTTAACAAGTAGGCTCCATTGACAGCAACCAGAGAAAACCTTTAAGTTAGGAACCAGCTGCCATTTTTAAGGAGCATCGGCTACTAGTGATGAGCTCCGGCGTGTTCGCAACTCCACGTGCCGAGCCCGCCAGGAAGCTGACAGCGCCAATCACAGGCACTGAGGCATTTCCCGATCTCTACAGCTGCGGACCGGCAAAATGTCTCAGTACCTGTTATTGGCGCTGTCAGCTTCCTGGCGGGCTCGACACGTGGAGCTGCGAACGCGCCGGAGCTCATCACTATTGGGCTACCTTTTGTATCAGCTGCCCTCTTGTGGTCAGATTGTATTACAGCATATCATCTGGAGTCATAGTATGCGTACTTTTCAGTTGTTTTTTTTTGTAGCAAGGAGTTTTATTAGGTTTTTACATATAAAACATATACAATACACAATAAGGAAGAAAAAAAAACCTTTACTTTTCAGTTTATTCACCTTTTGCACCAAAGAAAACTGTTACTTAGTACAAAAAATGATATTTTAAAATTCAAGCACAATTTTTTTTTAATACCGATTGCTTAAAGGAGAATAACGGGGTCAGTGCCTTTTCCTCATAGTTCTGTTAAGGGTAATGGGAGAACACAAACTAGCGTCCTCCCGTCACCCTAAGCTCAGTATATAGGGAGCTACAGCTCGCGTTATACTGAGACGCCGCAGCCGGAACGGATCCCGACAATTGTGTCTGGATCCACCCAGCTGCGTGAGTGACAGCTGGCTCTGCCTATCTAGAGGCAGAGCCAGCTGTGCCCGTCCCCTCCCCCGTCCGTTCCGCCAGTCAGCGCTGGAGGATCTGAGAGGGGGAATCCCTGCAGGGAGCCGTGAGTGACCGTCATGGCTCTCTGCACGGATAGATCGAGAAGTGAGCGAGCGACGTTATGTGTTCTCTATCTACTGAGCCGACCTGTGACAGTCTCATTGTCACAGGTCGGCTCAGATTATGAGGCTGAGTGAAAAGCACTCGCCTCACAATTCTCCTTTTAAACTCCCCACCATCTACTAAATGCTAAAATATGACTTTAAGGTGGACTGACCTTTTACCCGTGACCATTGTCTGCATGATTTGTTCTTTATCCGTCTAATTTTCTCTCTGTGGTACTCAGGTGATTCTGAATTGCTCGGCACTGCAGAGTTTGCTGCACCTTCTCAGCAGCCCCAAAGAGTCCATAAAGAAGGAGGCTTGCTGGACGATATCCAACATCACAGCGGGCAACAGGGCACAGATCCAGGTGAGTAAAAGGAGATGCCCAGAGAAAACGTTCTAATAATAATAAAGTGCAGAATACACACACAGCTGAATGATTTAGAGCAGGTTGTCAAAGTCAATTTAATCGCGGGCCGCATCAACATTATGGTTGCCCTCAAAGGGCCTGTAAGACTACCGTGTTTTCCCGAAAATAAGACACTGTCTTATTTTTTTTTTGGCTCAAAAAAACACACCAGGTCTTATTTTCGGGGTAGGTCTTATTTTTAATGTACAGCAATCCAGACTTAATACAGGGTGGTGGTGATTACAAACCTGGTGTAACATTGTTTGTGTTGTTTTCTTACAGACGGTGATCGACGCTGACATATTCCCGGCTCTCATTAACATCTTACAGACAGCAGAGTTCAGAACCAGGAAGGAGGCCGCATGGGCCATCACAAACGCCACTTCAGGGGGGTCGGCAGAGCAGATCAAGTAAGTGTTTCCCTTCATCGGTGAAAAAAGGGGCTTCCTGCTGTCACTTTATTTACCAAATAACTCTCGGGTAGGAAGTCTGGTGGGCACAAGGGAAATGTCCATCCAACCCGCAATCTGTACGTTAAAGTGACGCTAAACTCAGGAGTTCAATCTTACAAATACATTCAAGTCCCTTAACTATAAACAACAATGTATCTTATTTGTATATCACTCGGCTGTAGATCCTCCAATCATATCTGATTTCATACGGACACTGTCCTTCCTTCTGGAGGGGGGGTTACGTCGGTTCCCCATGGTCCCTGTGTGTGTTGTAAAGTAGTCACCGCTCCAAGCTCACTCCCGGGATGGACTACAATCTCATGTTTAGTTTCTCATTTGTATTGAGATTGTAGTCCATCGGGGGAGCGAGCTTGGAGCGGTGACTACTTTACAACACACACAGGGGCCATGGGGAACAGACGTAGCCCCCCTCCAGAAGGAAGGACAGCGTCGGCACCAATTCAGAGATGATTTGAGGATCTACAGCCGAGTGATACACAAATAATCAAAAGAAACCCATCGCACACCTGACCGGATAATCCCCTCAAGTATCGGGTGGGTGCCAAGCGACCACGGATGCCTCCGCAAATCAGTATAAATATGAAGAAGTCACTCGCACTCCAGCTCAAGTTCAGTCAATATTTTATTGACCTCCGTGGTGTCGCAGCATGGCTATAATGTGACACCACAGAGGTCAATAAAATATTGACTGAACGTGAGCTGGAGTGCGAGTGACTCCTTCATATTTAGGCCTCATTCACACACATTCATCGGCCGGCACGTAGAGCTCCGTGCCGCGTGCGGGGCCGTACCAAGTAGCTGCCGGGAAGGACAGGTGCTGCGTGTGATTAGAACGCAGCCCCCGTCCTTCTCTATGGGGCTACGCGGCCGTACGCCCCCCTACCCTCACCTCATTTGCAGGTCCGTAGGGGTGCGGGTGATCGTATCCATACGCCGCCGGAATGGAACATGTATGCGTCCCGACCAGAAAACCCGCACCCCTACGGACCTGCAAATGAGGTGAGCGTAGGGGGGGCGTACGGCCGCGTAGCCACATAGAGAAGGACGGGGGCTGCGTTCTAATCACACGCAGCACCTGTCCTTCCCGGCAGCTACTTGGTACAGCCCCGCACGCAGCACGGAGCTGTACGTGCCGGCCGATTCGTGTGTGAATGGGGCCTTAAAGTGAAACACAAATAAGATACATTGTTGTTAATAGTTCGGGTACTTAAATGCATTTTTGAGATTTAACTCCTTAGTTCAGTGTCACTTTTAATGTTCCTTGGCATTCTGCCTCATCATTCTGACAGCTGGCACTGCTAGCTGGAAGAACTATTTGACCGCTCCAGTCTCCACTAGCAAGCAGCGCAGTTTCTGATCATGCGGTGAATAATGTGTTCCAGCGGCGACGGAAGTGAGGTCAGCACTGATGCCTCCTCCAGGTACCTCTATGCAGTTGCGCTTTCTATTCCCAAATGGTAACGCCATCGACTTTATAAAGTTACTGTAAGAAAAAATGAGCGTCGTTTAATTAAAAAAAAAACAATAGTTAATTTTTACGGTGTGCAAACAAAATGAATGGTGTCAATTGAAAACGGTCCGGGAGATCATCTTTAATAACTTTGGTGTCAAATGCATCAAGATGTGTGATCGCTGCTGTCGAACCCCTTCCGTACTTCAACATCACTGCGCATACAGGAAGTCCCCGAGTTACATACGACTCCTACTTACAAACGGAGGCTATTACTGTACAGCGGGGGTAGTTGTAATGCTGACGCGCTCGTGCCGAAGAGGAGTGCCCGCCTTTTTGGGTCTGGTTTGTAGTGCTGTTCGTACATTACAGTTCTGTATCCTCATTAGAAAGATTTAATCTCACGTCCTGTCCTTGAGACAACAGGAAGTGAGAGGAAATCTACCCCTGGGAAGGGAAATTCACTCCTGTAAGAGTTATCATGGGAAAATGTTGTCTCCACTGTATCTAAATTAACATGTTCAAAATCCAATTGTCACAGGGACAGAAAGTGAGGTGATATCTTCTGAACGGGGGCACACACAGCAACACAAACTTTACAGGGGGTTAAACCCTTCCCTATGCTATCCAAAACAAAACCAAAAAAGTTTTTTTTGGCTGGAGTTGCACTTAAAAATGCGGCGCCTCAGTATACCGCGAGCTGTAGCTCCCTATATACTGAGCTTAGGGTAACGGGAGGACGCTAGTTTGTGTCCTCCCGTTACCCTAAGGAGAACTATGGGGAAAAACACTGACCCCATAGTTCTCCTTTAAGATCAAACCTACAGTCCCTATCTTGTTCGTAACCCGGGGACTGCCTGTACTTTTATATGAAGCATGTACTTCCAGTGAGGTATCTGCCACACACAACAAGAACAATGTCGCTCGGGTTCCCTGTTGGCATCAGTGTTTACCTGTTGCCTGGTCAGCTGGTCACAACACACACAGCTGATCGGAGCAAATTTCCCTTTCTGATTCGATTTCCCTGTATTTCTGCCGATTTTCAGCTCTTTCATTGTATTTCTTTTAGGTATCTGGTGGACCTGGGCTGCATCAAACCCCTTTGCGACCTCCTTACCGTCATGGACTCCAAGATCGTCCAGGTGGCCCTGAACGGCTTGGAAAACATCTTGAGACTGGGCGAGCAGGAGGCCAAGCGCAACGGAACGGGCATAAACCCTTACTGCGCCCTCATCGAAGAGGCTTA